ACAAGAGGTGCCACACTGTCCCCTCTGTGCTTCTTTAGTTGTGTTAAGCACTGGGAGCCTGGCCTGGACACAGGGTTTTGGTGCAGGCAGGTACCTGTATGGGGCTGAGGTGGCGAGGACTGCGATGCACAGGTATATGTGCACAGTGATAAATGTAAAGGCAAGAACCAAGTGCCAGCATAGCCCTGTTTGCTTGCAGTATCCTAGGAGAGAGTTCTGCGTTGCCCCCACCGGGGTGGAGCAGCTGATGCTGCCTCTGTGCTGGGATTCTGGCTCTAGCAGAGCCTCTCCCTGTGTCAGCCCAGATTCACAGGGACCTGAACTTAATGGGAGCTGGGAGCTGCTGCCCCTCATGAGGGGCTTTGTTCCCAGCCTCACACCCAGCACACCCGCTCTCTGTGGCCCCTCTGCTGTCACTTGCTGAGGGGTTTAATAATTTCTAATTAATGTAATGCAGCAAAGCACAGGGTGAGATTTAAGCACCCCCGAGGGCTTTGTTGTGCCAAGGTTGTAGCGGTGATGCTCACGAGGGATACCTTGGTGCTTTCACTTTGCTCACTCTGTTATTTCCCTTGGCAATGTTTTATGGGATAAACAAGGTTCTGTTAGGGGTGGGGAAGGACTTCAGAGGGGATCGTGCAGTGTGTTCTCAGGTAACGTTAACCAGGACCCTGCTTTGTGTTCCTGGCACCGTGGCCAGCTCGGGTTTTCTATCGAACACCTGCAGAGGAGCTGTAGCTTTCACTTGTGCTCACCCGAAAGGTGCCTGTGTTTCCATGGCTCCGGGGTGAAATATTGAGCCTGGCAGCCCCATACTGCCAGAACGGCAGCAACATAACCCGCTGTGTCCACCTGCACCGCAGTGCTGGCTCCCCTCTTTTGCCGCCCCCTGCCGGTGGCAGCGGGTGCCATCGCTCCTCTTCCACTGCAAGGGCCTCTAGGGCAGCTGCTGATGAATGCACTCGGTGTCTCAGAGCATCATTTTGCAGAGGGAAAGTCTGGTGGAGTCAGCACATCACCCCCAGGTCCTTGGAAGGGATCCCTGCTTCCTTGGAAAGGGCTTGGTGATGTGGCAGCAACTGTCCCGTGCCTTGGGCCAGAGCAGAGCTCCTGCTCCCCTGGGCAGCCTTGGGAAACAGATTCTCAGGTTTCCTCGTTAGAAAAAATCACCACTGCACGGTGGGATATCTCCCCTTGTGTTCTTTCTTCCAGGTTAGGGCTCACTCAGATTATTAGCTGTGTTCCCAGATGAAACACTTCATTAAGGGGGAGCTGCAGTGGCTGTAAATAAATACTGGTAACTCGAGAAGATTTGGCCTCAGTGCACTGGCGTAGCTCTGAAATGGCAAATGACCACAGCAGAGGAGGGCTGGTGCCACTTTCACCCTGACCAGGGAAATGTGGGACCAGAGACCTGGAGGCTCCTTGCCTGTGCCAGGGCATCTGTTACCTTTGAGTGCCCAGGAAAACCTCTGGAGCCAGAGCCTGCCCCAGCCACCCTCTGCTCTGACTGCACAGGAAGAGTTTTCTTCTTCTCCAAGGCAAAATTTTCCTTGCAGGAGTTCAGCAGACCTGAACTCCTGCAAGATAATCTGTTCCACTCTTCTTTGCAAACATTTTTTTCTCTGTGTTTGAAGGCTGTTATATGTCCCCTTCAGTCTTCTCTTCTATAGACTAAACAACTCCTGCTCTTTCAAACTTTATTCCTAGGTTATACTTTCTAGGTGAAATTTTTAAGACAAATGGTTCTTGCTGTCCTCTGAACTCGCTGCAGTCAGAGTGGAGCACTTCTGTCTTGCTCCTACTATGCCTTGCTGAGGCTTTGTGGCTCCACAGAGAGGGGCAGGATCATTTAGGGAACTTTGAAAGACTCATCTGGGCCTACGCCTTACTCGTGATGCTTTTCACCTTGCATTGGTGTAAATGTGAAAATAACCCTGAAGGCACCTTTGTGTTTTGCATGAGTTAGAAACTGCATCCTCAACCTGGTACCTGCTCTGGGCACCATAACAGCCATGCAGAGCTCTCAGTGCCTTCAGTGATGCTGTAAGAGCACAGCTTTGCCCTTGAGCAAGCAGAATAAATCCTTCACTGCCACTGTGAACAGATAAAACAAAGTTTCCCTGGTCCCTGGCTGCACTGCTTGCTGGGGCACTTGCTGGTGTGGATCCCAAAAAAAGGCTTGTGCACATGCAGCCTGCCAGATCTGCCTGGGAAGAGGCATTTGGCCCTCAGCAAGGAGCATTTCCCACCCTGTCGTATGGAGAAACGAAGCTGTTGGGTCTCAGGGTGGCTTTGTGACAGGCTGCATCACACCCTGAGCTCCATGGGGCTGGCAACGACAGTGTATGTGCTCCGTGTTGTATTCCTCTTACAGTTGACATCTCCCCAGCAATTCAAGGCCTTAGAATATGTGTGCTTAATTATAATCAGGCCATCTGGATGAAGATCCAGAAATATCCCCTGGACCTATAATCGCTGATTAAACCTTGTGCTCTGAGCGTGAGCTGTACGTGTATCCCAGGCAAGAGACAAAAGCACTCGTGGTGTCTGCTGGGGGCTGTGCAAGGGGCTGGAGCCCCCCATCCTGCATAAACCTGTGAGGTGCTGGCTCTGCCTTTGGAGGAGCCTCTGCCCAGAGGTTTGTTCTGTTGTGGCGGGATGCAGGGCTGGAGGAGATGGCACCATCCCACCTGGCTGGCTGTACACCGGGAGCAAGGCACCGGCTCTCCCCGTGCCCCTGCGAGGTGGGACGAGGTCGGCGCCTTCCAAAAGCTGCTGCCCAGGCCCATCTGCTGGTGGTGCAGAAGCGTCGCGGGGCGTCGGGAGCCGTGTTCCTGCATGGTGCTGCCCAGCTCCTTCTCGCTGCGGAGCTGCACTGCAGCTCTCCATGAAGGGCTGCACAAATGTCACTGAGGGCTTGCTCTCTTTGGTGTCACTGCTGTCTGACAGAGCTGATTAAGGCCATGTTCTGCTGTCAGCAGCTGTGATTCAGGTCTGGATCAGGTCCAACAGAAGCCCCACTGTTGTTCTGGCTTTTCAGGAGGTCTTTGCGCATGTTGCCAAGTTGCTTTTTCCTCCCTGGGCTCGGACGTGGGGAGCGGCACCTGATGTGACAAATAGTGTCACTGGGATCAAAGGCAGAAGATCAGGACTGCTGCAGGGGTGTGGTGTGTGCTGGGAGCAGGGAGTGCAGGCTGGCAGGTCTTTAAGGGGGCAGGGTGCCCAGGCAAGACTGGCTCGAAAGGTTGGGCAGCAGGGTTGGGTTAGCTCGCTTCAGATCAGTGTGACTTAGGAAAAAAACAATGATGTTGGCTTGAAAAGTGTGTCCCTTTTGAAACAAAACATGACTTTAACTCTTTTTCTACCCCCCAGCCTCTCCCTTTTCCTGTGGTGTTCAGGGATCACCTTCACTTTACCTTCCTCTGTAACCATAAACTCCAGAAACATCCCCATTAAGAGCAGGAAAACAAAGGAGCAGAGGAGAAATGGCTGCAGTGACTGGGACTCGGGGAGCAAAGCCAAACCATGTGAGACCCAGCAGCAGCTTGTGGTCAAGTGCTAAAGCTCTCCCTGGTGCCACCGAGGGGAGGAGTTGGAAAACCTTGCCCATCTTTGCAGGATCTGTTGATCTTTTTAAGGCTGAGTCCAAAGAAACCCTGAAGCGGCTTGTGAGCCGGGTTAGTGACAGCAGCCCTTGTTCTTGTTTAGGTTTGGCAAGCAGCAGCTAATGCTGAAGGAGCTGAGCTCTCGATGAAATGTAAGCAGCTTTTGTTAAGGGAAAAAGAAGTTTATTCTTGAATTGAGGGCTGGGTTGTTGGGGTTTTTGTTTAATTAATTTACCAAGTCGTAAATTCCCGGTGATTGCATAAGGGCTGTGCGTCATGTTGCAAATCCTGCTGATGGTGCACAGCTCTCCACGTCTGGGCTGCGCGGAGAGGGATGGGGAGAAGAGCGCCAAAGCAAACACCCTGCGTTTGATTTGGGATGAAATGGATTTCCTTTGAATAGCTTGTGAAACGTGCTGTCCTGAGCTTGCAGTGCAAGCACTGACTGCTGACACTTGTCAAGCCAACATGGGGCTAGTCAGAAAATAGAAAACACCCAGAAAACAGGCCAAAGACTAGCAAGACATGGGGTGTGTTGTGGTTCTCTTTGATGGGTAGGTTCTCAGCAGACGTCCCACTTCTCAGCTGCCTGGTGAAGGCTTTCTGGGTTGGAGGAGAACACCTAGCAGAGGCTCAGGGCTGGCTGGCACATGGGAGAGGCTCAGTGGGCCACCTTCCCGAGCAGGACAGTCCAGACTGGAGCTGATGTTCCTGGCTCCTGCCCATGTGCAGCTCCCTGAATATCTTCAGGGTTAAACTGACCCTCCTGCTATCCCACTGCTTACAGGGAGCTCCAGCAGACCCTTTGGAGCCTGGGTGTTTCCTTGCTTCCTGGGAAACCCAGCTGCACGAATGTCGCCAAGGCTGTCCCTTCAATCCACAAGTGTCATTCTAGGGTGACAGCAGCATGGTGATGAGTCAGTAGTCCCGTTTTCAGCTGCCCCTGACATTGCTCAGTCCTTCAAACCGTGTCCTTGCTGCACAAGGTGTGGGTGCGAGATCATGGCGCCCTAGTTATCTCAGTGTGCCAGAGGCCTCAGGTTACCTCTGACGCATAATTTCTCACTGGCATCACTAGTTATTCCTATCGAGTCGCAGACAACGCAGACATATGGGGAAGGAAGTTGTGAAAAGCATCTTGGAGTCCAACTCAAAACACCTTCAATTGGTGTGATTTCCCCAAAGGAGGAACTGCCTGCTCTTAAAAAAAAAAAATAATAAAATTAAATCCTTCTCTTGAAAGAAGGGCTCTTCAGGACAGCAACTAGACCCCAGAGTTACTTTTCAAAGCAAAAGCCTTGGGCCGAACCCAGCCTTCTTTCTCCCTGCACCTCTGCTGATAGAAGATTCTCCTTCTTAACTCTCTTTTTTCCCCTTCCTTTCCCCGCAAAGGCCTCTCGGCGGACGGTGGAGCCAAGCGCCAGGAGCACCTCTCCAGGTTCTCGATGCCCGACCTGAGCAAAGACTCGGGCATGAACGTCTCGGAGAAGATGAGCAACATGGGGACGCTCAACTCCTCCATGCAGTTCCGAAGCGCCGAGTCCGTCCGCAGCCTGCTCTCGGCGCAGCAGTACCAGGACATGGAGCC